GAATTTTTTAAGGTTGTTGACGTTCCAAACTCTAGGCACCCTTTTGCCCTCGGCGTCTTGGAGAATGTATGCCCCGGGGTGCGGGACCTCGGTTACAATGTAAGGGCCTTCCCAGTTTGGTGCTAGCTTGCCATATCGGGTTTCGAACCCTGTGAGCCCAGCTTTTCTGAGGACGAGGTCACCGACTCTGAAGTTTCGAGGTCGGACTCGCTTATTGTAAAGGTTGGCTATCCTTTGTTTATATGCTAGAGTCCGAAGTCGGGATTGCTCTCGGACTTCGTCCAGGAAATCAAGGTTTTCCCTTAGTAGACGCTCATTTCGAGCTGGTTCAAAGTGACTGATTCTTAGGCTTGGGACACCGATTTCGACAGGAATGACTGCCTCAGTGCCGAAGGCTAAGTTGTAGGGCGTTTCGCCTATTTGCAGGAGACTAACTTTAGGATTTACTTTATAGGGTAGTCCGTAACCATAAGTAAAGTAATGTAAAACAGAACCAAGGTGGGGAACATACCTGTGGCAGTTCGGCTTGTTGTCCGGTAAGCCCACAGGACGTTGTTGAGTTCATCTACCCACTTTGTTTTCAGCTGATCTAACCTCGGCTTGATTCCTTCCAAGATAGCCTTGTTGACTGATTCGACCATTCCATTGGCTTCAGGGTGATAGACGGAGGTGAACACCAACTTAATCCCGTAGCTTGAGCAGAAGTCCCTGAAGGAGTTACAATTGAACTGGGGGCCGTTATCGGCGATGATTTGGTTCGGTATCCCATATCTGCAGATGACCGAGGTGAAGAGGAAATCCTCGATTCTTCTCGAAGTTAGACAAGAGAGAGGTTTGGCTTCTACCCATTTGGTAAAGTAATCAACAGCGACCACCAAATGCGTTGCTCCCCCTACTGCTTTGACGAAGGGACCCAGAAGGTCTATCCCCCATTGAGCAAAGGGCCATGGTGCAGTCAAGCTAGTAAGTTCTTCGGCTGGCTGGTGGGTGAGATGGGCGAAAAACTGGCATTTCTGGCACCTCTGTACGAACTTCTTTGCGTCTTCTTGCATGTTAGGCCAATAGTACCCTTGGCGAAGTACCTTGTGTGCCAGAGTTCGGGCTCCCACGTGATTACCGCATACCCCCTCGTGCACTTCTCTTAGCGCATACTCTGCTTCATATGGTGTCAGGCATCTGAGGAGTGGTAACGAATAGGACCTTTTGTATAGGAT